ACCCATAGTGGACAGATTTCAGCAGAAATTCCAGACTAAGGCAGACTAGAAAGGAAGGGCTAAGGATCTACTCCCGAAAGTTAGAGAGTGAAACGCTATCATCACAACAGACTACTGTCCACTACAGCACGGAAAGAGAAGCCCCCAGGCCACAAGTCACTCAACGTGCACAGTGGTTGCAACCATGGACCAGTGAATGCCAACAGTTGTAAAGATAGCACAAACTGGGCACCATTTGGTTCTGTTGTACACAGGGTTGCCTTGCATCAGAGGAGACTTGGAAGGAACAAACAACAACATCATACCCTGGGAAGGGTCACGTGACTAACTCTATTTACTGATAAAGAAACTGAGAGCAGAGGCCAAATGACTTTCCCAAGGGCATATCACAGCTCCTAAGTAGCAGAAGTGGGATTTGAACACACGTAAGCCTGACTCCTAACTCTGTGCACAATGCACCTGCCTCCCTGTTTGCTCCGGCCTGGATCACAGGGAACCCCATGGCAGCAAGATCTGCCCTTGGGTCCTTCACTGACACTATCATGGATTGAATTGTTCCCCCCAAATGTGCTGGAACCCTAACTCCATACCTGCCAATGTGATCCTGTCTACAAATAAAGTTTTCTTTGTTAAGTTAATGAGGCCCTGTCGTAGGGTGTGTCCTAAACCTGATCACTTCTGAGCAGATTAGACAGAGACCAAAAAACCCAACCCAACCCACTGCCATCAAGTTGATTCTGACTCATAGCGACCCCTAGAAAGTTTCCAAGGCTGTAAATCTTTATGGAAAAGACTGCCTCATCTTCCTCCTGTGAGCAACTGGTGGGTTTAAATCATCGACTTTTTGGTTAGCAGCCCAGTGCCTTAACCATAGTGTCAACAGGGTGCCTTCGTCACAGAGACAAGGGAGCACATATGGGGAAAGATGCCATGTAACGACTGACATGGAGCTGGAAATACAGCACTACTGAAGCTGGGATGAGGCCCTTCCTCCAGAGTCAACAGAGAGAAAGCTGTCCCTCAAGCCGGTTCCCTGAATTCGGACTCCTAGCCTCCTGAGCAGTAAGAAAATGAGCTCCCGTGTTCTAGAAACACCCACTTGTGGAATTTCTGTTACAGCAGCATGAAGACACAAAGGCAGACACCAATGTATAAATGACCAGCTACCGCTCAAGGTCTTTGGTTTCTGTTCAGCAAAACAGGCCATTAAGCTTCAGCACAGACTCCCAAGCTGGGATCTCCTACGGACAATGATAGAGACACCAGAGCTACTTTCCACATTTCAAAAGGCCACCCTGAAAACATACACTAAGCCACTCCGAAGCTGAAAAGTGTAACTAAAATGCAGTGTTTCATTGATTTAGGCTGGAATTACATGGACTCTGATAATCCTGGGTATTTCAACCTCATTAAAAACTCTGATGGACCGTTCCTATGTCTTTGATGGATAAAAATGGAAAATTAAATAAATATGGCCTGTTTCACAGTAAAAAGCCGGTTACAACCTGAACCCCATGGGAGAAAAGAATAAAAACTGCCCTTGGTGATGCAACGGTTGGGAATCACAGAGCTGAAAGGGAACAGCACAAGTCACGGAATATCGGCGCTCCTACAGCTGTGTTGTGGGATCTGGACCACTGGCTGCTCGCCCTGCCTGGGAGCTGGATCACCAGCAGGGCTGAGCCAATTGTACTTCTCTCTTGGAAATCAAGAGTTGAGAATCTGAGAGAGGGAGGCAGTTTCCAGTAGAGGCAGCAGTCAGGAGGCTATGTGAAAAGCTGTCCCTTTGCTGAGGGTGCTGGGGTGAATGCAGTGGCCATGTAGCAAGCTGAAGGGATGTGGGAATAGAAACACAGTTAGCTTTCCCCTCACTAAACCCATGGGTTAATCATCTCCACCTGGCAGGGCTGTGGTGAAGATATTGGATAGCACAATGAGAAAACATCGAACCAGGATCAACTGTGGCTCATTCAATACGAACTGAGTCAAAGTCGTATTGGTTTCTTTCTCTAACTTGGAACAATTGTTGTCTTTTCCAATTAGGGGACTGGACTCGGGCTCCTATACCTGCAGGACAATGCATTCGTTCACTTGTCTCCTGAGTCACTTCTCTGTGCCTGACATGATGGATGTGGCCCTGAACAAGATCTATATGGTTGCTGCCCCCACAGGGTGTCAAGCAAGCCGAACAGCCCAGCCTGAGTCTTAGTGTAGAAAACCTGTGGGCTGGGGTGCTTAGAGCCAGAGCAGAGGTCAATACAGGGGTCTGGGTCCCTCCAGATCTCCAATGGACGTAAGAAGCAGTGGGTTTCTGGAATTAGGAGAATTGTTTCTATACTTTAATGTTACATTAAACTGTAGAAGGAAGCCACTGTTTCCCTTCCCTTTCTTTTTCCTTTTTTATTGTGGTGGAAACACACACCAAAACATTCACCAGCGTACAATGTTCACATTTACAGCTCAGGGGCATCGATGGCGTTTTTCATGTTGTGCCACCATGATTGCTGTCCTTTTCCAAAATATTCCACCACCATTAACATAAACTCAGTGCCCCACAAACAAAAGCTTCCCTTATCCCCCTCCCTCCTACCACTGGTAACCACTAATCATTTCTGGTATGTGTGTGTGTGTGTGTGTGTGTATGTATAGTATATAAGCAATTTTCTTTATGGGAAACTCCATTTAAAAGATTCTGAAATAATCTTAATTAAGTTAAAGGGAAATAATGTTTTTTTCTGCAACTTTGGGAAGATAAGGGTTTGTTGTTGTTGTTAAATGCCATTGAATTGGCTCCAACTCATAGAACGAAACACTGCCTGGTGCACCATCCATTCATAAGGGTTTGTGGTTGTTGTTATTTGCCATTGAGTCGGCCTCGACTCATAGCAACCCCTCCTTGGGTTTCTGAGGCAGTATCACTACGGAAGTAGGATTGCCCAACCTTCCTTTCGAGGAGTGGCTGGTGGGTTTGAACTGCCAGCCTTCTGGTTAGCAGTCAAATGTCTTAGGCACTACACCACCAAAGCTCCCAGAACACACTTAGACCTAAGCATTTGTCAGATCTGTTATTCATTCATCAAACACTTATTGAGCATCACTATGATCCATGCAGGAGTCCTGGGAGGGCAGTGGTTAAGCATTTGGCTGCTAACCAAAAGGTTGTAGGTTTGAATCCACCAGCCTATCCCAGGAGAAAGGTGTTGCAGTCTGCTTCTACTCTGTCCTATAGGGATGCTATAAGTCAGAATCAATGTGATGCTATAGTTTTTGTTTTGTCTTTCATATGATCCATGCCCTCCGAAGGCACACAGAGGAACAAGAGCAGGCCCCTGTTCAAGCAAGCTCACCACCAAGTGGGGGGCAGCAAGCCTCCAATGATCCCAATGATCCCACCTGGAGATGGACCATCTGCTTGCTGACAGAGCCTGGGGATGGGATGCAGCGATGGAATGGGTAGGGGGTGAAGGGGTGGAGTTTCGGCCACAAGTGGGCTTTCTCCTCTTGATTTTCACTTGTATCATTCCCTTGGAATAATATTACTGTATTTCCTTGGCTACTAACAGTGATCTTGAAATAGCAGGGGTTTTTTTTCTTTCTAGTCAGAAAAATGCACGGAGATACCTTTTCAAACCCAAGAACACTCACACCCACAATATGCACTTGTAGTCACCCAGGAACGGCACAAATATATTGAGTCACCAGATAGTCCATGGAAAACATGCACTGTTTCAGCTTCCTTGGCACTAGCATTATGCTGACAGGGAACACCAGAGCCCCAGGAGAGAGGCAACTCACCAATGCTCAGGGAGGAGGAGCTCGCCTGCGGGAAGACCAACACACTGGGAGCTCAGGCAGCCAAAACGTGGGAACAGCATCCTACCAGCTTCTATTTATTGTTGCATTGCTATGGTGCCCAGCCCCTTTGTAGCCATGGCATTTAGAACCTAGGAGTTGGGCTGGTGACCATTCCTCATATTTGAAAACAGCCGAGGAAACTCTAGAGAGGCCTGTGGCAGCAGTTCAGGGACAGTGGGAGCTTTCTGGTAGACCCAGCCTAGGGAACTCCGCACGGAAGCAGCTTCCTCCATTACATGGAGGCTTGTGGAAGGAGGGATGTGCGTAATACGTGTCCAAAGAGCTGGTCCTTCCTGCTGCATTCTCCATCTCCTACAAATGGGCAGGAGCATCCCTGAGAACCAGGGTGGCCTAGGGTTCTGCTGCCGGTGGTGTGAGGCGATGTGTGTGTGTGTGTGTGTGTGTGTGTGTCCTCTAAGAGGAAGGCAAGAGTCTGGAGGCCTATGGGCTGGGGTGGTGGGAAGGTGGGCCACGGAGGAGGAAGGCCTGGAGAATCAGAACACACACACACACACACACATTCATTGTCTGTGGAGGCTATGCCGACTCAAGGCGACCTCATGTGTTACAGAGAAGAACTGTGCCATAGGGTTTTCTTGGCTGGAATCTTAACGGAAGATTGGCAGGCCTTTCTTTTGCAGCGCAGCTGGGTGGGTTCAAAGCAATTGCAAACAGCTTTCGCCACCCAGGGACCGCTGGAGACCCTGAAGGCACGTTCAGTCGCGGTTCCATAGCGCTCCACCTGAGTGAGCCTTGCCTGAAGCAGCCATCCTACAGGCCCAGCCCTGGCCGCGGAGTCACCGCGCCCCCTGGCGAGAGCGGAGCTCACCTAAGGCAGGAAGCGCCGGGTGCAGCCCAGGAGGAGGGAGTTCACGCAACTGTGTTGGCGCGAAGGCTCGGGAGGGGAGGAACTAGTGCCGTGTGGGGAAGGGGGACGGACCGACGAGCTGCAGGGAGCGGAGGGTTGTCCGCACGCGGGAGGGAGACGTCAGAGCGCGGGGGCCGCCGTGCCGAGCCCCCCGCCCCGTCCCGGCTGCATATAAAGTGGGGCGGCGTGGAGGCGGCGCGGCGGCGGCGTGGCTCGCAGGTCCTGCTGCCCCTGCGCTCCCGCCAGCCGCGCCGCGCGCCCGGCTCCCCGCGGGACCATGTGCGGCCGCGAGCTCCCGCTCATCCTGCTAGCGCTGGTCCTCTGCCGCGCGCCCCGGGGACAGGCGGCCCCCGTGCCGGCCGGCGGGGGCCCAGTGCTAGCCAAGATGTACCCGCGCGGCAGCCACTGGGCAGTGGGTGAGTGTCCCCGTGTCAGCCCCGGGGTCTCCCATCTCGGCGTCTCCAGGGGCTGGGTCCGGGTGCTGTGGCGCTGCGACCATTTCCCCTAAACTCCATGCACCCGTCTCGATCCTGGGGAGCCCACGGGTCCCTCCCCAAACATAGGCGCCTCGCCAGCAGCGCGCTCTCTTGGTCCTTTCCCACGCTCTTCGCCAGAGTGCCCAAGCCTGCGAGCCGCTGCCTAAATCACAACTCAGGTGGAGGAGGCCACCTTCCCTCTGCACCAGCCCGACGCCTCCTTGATCAGCCCACCCTAACCCTGTCTGCAGGGTCCCTCCCTGAACAACTTTGGGGAGGCGGCCCCGAGCGCTGCCCGCTCCGGTGGCTCGCGTCCCTCGGCCTTGACCGCAGTCCAGGATGCGCTCTGGCTCCCGCGCAGCCACAGGTGCTGGGACTGGGGCGCGGGGCGCTCGCCGGGTTTCAACTCTGGCCAGTGGGCAGCGCCTGCATCCGCTGCTTGTGGTTTTCTGGGTCTTTCTTTTCCTTCTGCGGCGATCGTCTGTCCCCTGCCCTTTGCCCAGGTCGCCCTCTGTCCGTGGAGCGGGCTCTGCGCTCTGGCTCCGCGCTCGGGGCACCGAGCTTCCTGGCCACTCTGAGCTCCGAGTTCCCCTTCTCTCTCCTCCGGTAGAGATCCGCTACCTCGCAGCTACTCTAATTCCTTTCGGTCTCTTGGCCGTGGGCCAGCGACTCCTGCTCTCCCCGCGCGCGCCTGGAGGCTCCCTGGTCCCTGTGCCTAGAGTCCTGGGGCCGAGGTCCGTGGGACAGGTGGAAAGCGCGCACCTTCAGCTTTGGGGCAGCTGAGAGGCAGGGACGCACCCGGCTGCCCCGAGCTCCCCTAACCACCCGGGGCTCTGGGCCTCGCTCAACATCAACCCTGGCAAACGCCAAGCGTCCCACTTCCTCAGAAACCTATCCGGCAACTCCAACTTCAGCGTTTGCTGGGCAGCTGTTGACCCTCTAAGGAGATCTGTCTCCCTCTCCCTCTCCCTCTCCTTCTCCTTCTCCCTCCCCTCCTCCCTCTCTCTCTCTCTCTCTCTCTGATGTCCTCCTTGGTCATCTACTTAGAACTAGGGAGGATGTGTTGGAAAGGTACCTGATAATTCGAATATCAACCAGTCACAGAATTCGGGTGCCTAGGTAGAATTTCAGAGCTCTGGTAGCATAGTGCTTAAGGCACTTGACTGCTAACCAGAAGGCTGGCGGTTCAAACCCACCAGCCACTCCTCCGAAGGAAGGTTGGACAGTCTACTTTCCTAAGTGATACTGCCTTGGAAACCCAAGGAGGGGTTGCGTTATGAGTGGGTTCTGACTCAAGGCAAATAACAACAGGTAGAATTTTAAAAGGACCTCTGGTGTTGCAGTGCCTAAGGCATTGACTGCTAACCGCAGATTGGCTGTTCAAACCCACCAGCCACTCTGCGGAAGGCAGATGGAGCAATCTACTACCATAATTTACCTGTAAAGGCCATTCGCTTTGGGTCGGGATCCACTTGGTGGCAGTGAATTTCGTTTCGGTCTGGGGAGGAATTTAGGGTCGGGAGTGGGGCTGGAACAGCTGACCCTCAGCACCACTGCGCTGTGACTGCCTTTGTCAGAGAGACTGAGAGTTCCGGGTTGGCACAGAGTCGTTTGTATTGTTGTTCAAAGAGTCATTTGCCAAGTCGTTCAGGTCCTGGGGTGCCAGTAGTTGTGATTTATGCAGACCGGTGAACCCAGAGTTTCCTGTTCAGGGCAGGGACAGGTGGTGCTGAGAGACCCGCATTTCAAGGAGAAGGCATTAAGGAAGCCAAACAGAACTGACACTTTTCTTCCAAAGGGCTTGTGGGGAGCATAGAGAAAGTGGCCGTTTCCTGGTCCAGCCACAGCCGGGGACCTGGAAAAGTGGAATAAAGCTTTCAGATTTCCAGCCTGTTTTTGCTCTTTCACATTTTTGTGCTAAACAGGCTTATTATTAGGTAAGCCTTGCAGGCCAAGGGTGCTCTGGTGGCATACTGCCTAAGGCATTTGACTGCTAAACAGAAGGCTGGCAGTTCAAACCCACCAGCCACTCCTCGGAAGGAAGATGGGGCAATCTACTTCTGTAGAGATACCGCCTCAGAAACCCAAGGAGAGGTTGCTATGAGTCAGATCGACTCGATGGCAGTGAGTTGCAGGCCAAAGTGGGGATAAGAGTTAGCTGGCAAGCCAAACCATAACACCAAACTCACTGCTGTCCCATGGAATTCTGACTCAAACCATTGACCTTCCAGGTAGCAGTCGACCTCTTAACCACTGCACCAGCAGGGCTCCTTGTTGGAAAGCCAGTACTGTATTATTTCTGGTGCAAGCCAAACTTGATTTGCTATAGCTCCAGAGCTTGTCTGTCCCCAGATTTTTAGGGGTCTGGCATTAAATCACCCTTTGTGGTGGTACTTACGCATCCCTAACCCTAAAGTATGATAACCAGAAATCCAGAAAACCAAACCCACTGCCAAAGAGTCGATTCTGACTCATAGCAGCGCTATAGGACAGAGTACTATTGCCCCATAGATTTTCAAGGCTGTAAATCTTTAGGGAAACAGACTGCCTCAGCTTTCTCCAGCAGAACAGCTGGTAGGTTTGAACCACTGGCCTTTTGGTTAGCAGCGGCATGCTTCAATTACCAGGCTATCAGAGTCATTATAATGACCAGAGGCAGCCCCAAATACCCCTTCTTCTCAAACATCCTCCTTTTTCTGTTTCTCCCCTTACTGGCTGTGTGGAGTTGAAGAAGAGCGAGGGAACGGGAGATGCAACAGAAAACCCCACTTGGGCCTGCGGTTGAGATGAAGGGTGCTTTGGGTGGACAGATCTTCTGCTAAAATGTGAGCAGTGACAGGAATGAATGGTGTTGCTCGATTTTTAATTTAGCTTTCATCTATCCCAAGTAAATGTTATGCACCTTGATCATGGAAAGCATGTAATTTAATTTTAATTATATGCAACTACATCTCTGCACTGGGCTCCAGGAGGCAGCTGCTCACACACACTTGCAGGCTTTTAAGTGAATTTCTTCTTCCACCAGAGAGAAAATGGCACAGCAGTGGAAGACAAGTTAACAGCTGAGAAACTTCAGATTCTCTTCTGGCATGCTGCTCATGAAAACGTTTTGTTTGTGAGATGAAAGGAGATGTCAAAGCCTAACCCTGGTGACTGTCTCACTGTCTCCCCGTGCAGTGCTCCGAGTTGTTCTTGCTTTTCTGCGAGCACAGCTCTGGAGGCTGAAGTCTGACCCTCCAGGACTCAACGGCAGGGTGGTTTTACACTGTGAAAGATAGTTCGTGTGGCTCCAGGGGAACGAGTTCAGAGATGGACTCAGGGCTTCCACCTAGGTCGGCATGTTGATTTCCCCAAATGAGGATAATTTTCAAGTTTTAGACTTCTAGCAAATCCAGTTGTGTTTCATACCTGCCCTTTGGTGGTATCTTTAAGTGATCAAAAAAGACAAGAGCTTTTTTCTCTGGCCAAGGTTTTATTTTTTTCTCAAGTGCCTGTCTTTTTATCTTTTCCGAGTGCTCCATTATTATGATATGGACATCAGACAAAGGCTGAGGGGACAGGTAGAAGTGGACATTGCATCCGTGTTGCCATGGAGATAACTGGTTGACAGCAGCCTGCTCAGAAGTGAGATAGGAGCCAGTGTGCTTTGTAGGGTGTAATAGACGGTGCCCTTTTATTTATAAACAGTCTGTGGGCCTGACAGACAACACCACTCACCCACCACACATGCAAATATTGTCCCACAATTCAGTATAAGGTCACAAGGATCTCTGTTCAGTCAGAGAACAGAAGGCTTCTTGGTGTTTCCGTTTCGGGAAAGTCTGCAAAAGTGTCCAGGCCTGGCAAGAATGAAGTCAAAATACCCCCTCTGGCCCCGCTGCATCACTGTCTCATTTGCAGCAGCCCATCTAAATGATAGGTCATCAGCGACAGCAAGTGGAACCGAGGTCTTTCCTGGGACCACCAGGGTTCTAATCCTGATTTCTCATCGTCATGATTCCATTTCCTCCACATGCATAGAGCCAGCTGCTTCTCTGCTTTCTGAGAAGTTGTGCAACATAATTATTGGGACAACGGAATGCAGGGTTATGAGTGGACTTGAAGACATCAAGTTGGCAAAGCCAGTAAGGAAAGAGCCAGTCATTCAGGAGTCTGGGCTTTCAGATGAGACTGAGTTATCAGTAGGTTCTTGAAATGTGCGACCTCTTAGGTCATAAGCAACTTGGCAAGTGCTCACCCTGCAATGCAGGAAAACCTGATTGTATGGCACCGCAGTATTCACACAAGTCATTTTTCTGAGTCATGTCATTAGTCATGATATACTGATATGTGGTTATGGCTCCTTTTTATAGCATCAGGAAGCCTTTTGTAGACTATATCCATATTTCCAGACCATAGTGATACCGCCTTGGAAACCCAAGGAGAGGTCGCTATGAGTTGGATCCTACTCGATGGCAGTGAGTTTGGAGTTTTGGTTTAGAACGATTTTTAAGTGTGTTACATTCTCAGGAAGTTAAAAGACACTTGAAGGTACTATAATATAGGAGAACCTAGGCTGTGAGCTGATTTTATTTCTTTGCTTATAATTGTGTGACCTCACAAGTCTTGTTTTCACCCAACTTAATATGGTCCACACCATGAAACAATCCACATTTAAAATTCTGTAAACTGTCAATTGCAATACATATGTAAGCATATTGCTTATGGAGTACTGAGTTTCAGCTTATGGTGATTGAAAAATGACATTAATTAAGAGTAGGGTTGCACAGCCAATTATTGTAATTGCTGTCAATAAGTTGTACATCTGTAAAAAGTTGAATAGGCAAAGTTGTGTGATATATACATTTCCAGTAACAAAAAATAGTAGCTACTGAGGCTGCTTATGTACAAGCAAATCTCATGGGATTTGGTTCCTTAGTTTGGAGGTTTGGGGTCATGGTTTTCTGGGGTATCCTAGTTAATTGACCTAACAATATGTTTGGTGTTCTGGTTCTACCTCCTAGTTCATTGTGCAGTGCTTGGGGTCTTAAAATCTTGTCAGTGGACATCCAAGGCACAATTGGTCTCTATTCACCTGAAACAACAGAAGAAGGAGAGTCAGGAATAGGAGGAGGAAATGGATGTGTGACTGTCTCCATAAGCCATGAGACCAGAAGAGCTGGGTGGTGCTCAGTTACCATTACTGAATATTTTGATCAAAGATTCTATAGAAGAATCTTGGTCAAAAGGGGAGAAAATGCAGAACAGAATTTCAAATTCTCATGGACTATAGACTTTCTGGAGTCATGGAGGATGGATGAACCCCTGAAACTATTTCCATGAGATAATCTTTAAACAGGAGCTCTGGTGGCTTAGTGCTTAAGGCATTTGACTGCTAACCAGAAGGCTGGTGGTTCAAACCCACCAGCCACTCCTCAGAAGGAAGATTGGGCAATCTACTTCCATAGTGATACCACCTCGAAAACCCGAGGAGGGGTCGCTATGAGTTGGATCCGAAACCTTACACCATAAATATTCCCTGTTGTCATTGTTGTTATTTGCCGTCGAGTCGGCCCCGACTCATAGCAACCCCTCCTTGGGTTTCCGAGGCAGTATCACTACGGAAGTAGGATTGCCCAACCTTCCTTCCCTGAAGTCTTCTTAAAACAAAACAATAGTTTAACTTGAGTGGTAAAGAATGTCTACCTTGAGCGTTGTGCTGTTTTAAAGAAGTAAACTATCTCCCTGCTGTCAAATCGACCACAGCAAGTTGAAAGATTACATAGGACCCTTAGGGGGCAGTCAGTTTAGGTTGATGAGGGAGGAACAACTCAGAAAAGGAGGATGAGAATGGTCGCTCGACTCAAGGATTGTAACCAATGTCACTGAATTGTACACGTGGAAACTCTTGAACTGGGGTATGTTTTGCTGTGTATATTCTCAACAACTACCACAAAAATAAAAGAAGTCATTTTTAAGAATACATATACAAGCAGTAAAGTCATAGGACGGTTTTTCTGAAAAGTCACTGGTAGTACCTCTGGAAAGGGACCTCTCTTTCCGTTTTCTGTGACAAAGCCTCTTTCCAATATTACTCACATGATGTTTGCCTTAAATATTTCTAATGCTAGGCATATGGGCACCACAAGAGCTGTGAATCAATGGCCCCCGAGGCTGCTTAATGTCAGAAATCCACAAGTGTGATAAAACCCAATTACAGAGAGACGGAGACATGACTAAAGGAAGGAAGATGACATGAGGCCGCCCAGCAAATGCTAGTGTTGAGAACGCAGGTTCGGAATGCCGCCTCCTTCTCACCCCGTGTCTTCCTGTTTGGCCTCCATGTGCACCTCAAGGGCTGCTCCGTGCCCCTGGAGGCTGTAGGTGGGGCACCACTCCCACCTCAGACGCCCTCAAAAAATCCTGCTCTTAGGGGGCTGAGCAGTGTTAGGAAGAACTTGTTTTCAACTTATTTTTCATGACATTCTTAACAAATTGTCATATGAGGGTGAATGTTCCTGGATTCAATCTCAGCTACAATTCTGAGAAAGCTGAAATGAAAAATTCCCTTGTACATTAGTATTACACATAAGAGGAAAACATCACCATATTTTATTTCATCCTTTTAATCATACAAAGAGAAGCACTGAAACTTTTCTTTCCAGCAGCACTTTAGATTGGCTGGGGAAGATGCTTAAACACCATCATTCAGTTGGGAGTAGGCTTTGGTGCACACAGAATTGATGCTAGACGTTCAGGCAGGAAGGGTTCCTTGCATGTCATGTAGTGCAAGCTGTTCATTTTAAAGTTGAGAAAATTGAACGGTGAGGAAGCGAAATGACTGGCAAAGGTCACCTAGCCAGTTAGTGGAAGTGCTGGGACCAAGTGCAGGGCTTCTGGGTGCACCTCTGAGAGGGAGAAAAAACACTCATTGATGAATTAACTCTAAAATTCTCTTTGTTCTGCATTTAGGAGCAAGCAGCTAAAGTCATGGGGGCGGGGGACCAAACTCACTGCTGTGGAGTCGGTTCCAACTCATAGAGACCCCTCCATGTGTTTCTGAGGTGGTATCTCTACGGAAGTAGATTGCTCAATCTTCCTTCTGAGGAGTGGCTGGTGGGTTTGAACCGCCAACCTTCTGGTTAGCAGTCAAATGCCTTAGGCACTAGGCTATCAGAGCTCTGTTTAACAGAATGCTGTTTAATTTCTCATTCATTCATTCCCTTTGATTATGTGTGATATTCTGCCTTGTTTTTGTTTTTTACAGGACACTTAATGGGGAAGAAGAGCACAGGAGAGTCCCCGTCTGTGGATGAGGGCGAGAACCAGAAGCAGCTGCTAAGGGAGCACGTGAAGTGGAAAGAAGCCGCCAGGAATTTGCTGAGGCTCATGGAAGTGCAGGGGAACAGAAGCGGTCAGGCGCCTCCACGCGAGCCCCTGCGCCTTCGCCAGCCTACCTGGGAGTCACAGGACAGCAGCGACTTTAAAGACGTAGGTTCCAACCGTGAAGTCTGTAAAACTAATGTACTGGGAAGGCGGGGAACAGGGAGTGTGGGGAGACTTGGAAGGAGGGGCAGTTAGAGCAAAGAAGAATAAAATCGTTTATGACACAAGCTTTCAAACTCAAACCCAAACCCACTACCATGGAGTCGATTCCGACTGGTAGCAACTCTATAGGACAGAGTAGAACTGCCCTGTAGGGTTTCCAAGGCTGTAAATCTTTATGGAAGCAGACTGCCTCATTTTTCTCCTGCCAAGCAGCTGGTGGGTTCAAACAGCAGCCAAATGCCTTAACCACTGAGTGACCAGAGTGCATCAAGTTTTCAAGGCCACCACATTAATTAGGACAATGCCAGTACATGGCCAGCAAAGTGGTAGAATGATTTCCATGCTGTCTCCTCTTTGCAACGTCATTACTTTCTCTATTAGCACAAATAAAAGGGTGTTAGTTCCAAACTCCAAGTGAGGAATAAACATTTATAAATTGATAGAATTCTTTTTCACTAATCTATTTTATTTTTTGTTGAAAATACACACAGCAATGCAGACACGCCAATTCAGCGATCTCTACATGTCAACTCAATGACATTGACTACAGTCTTCCAGGCATGCACTCATTCTCCCCACCTTTTCTGATCTGTTCCTCCCATGAACTCACTGCTCCCTAAGCTTCCTGTCTAACCTTTGGGGTTCCTGTTGCCAATCCCATCCCATAGAGAGTTCTTTAAAATAGCACAATGCTCAAGGCAGACATCTTTCACTAATGGAACTAAACTATGGTTTGGTTTGAAGTAGAATTTAGGGATATTTTTGGTTAAAGTCTTAAAGATTTTCTCAGGGCAATAGTTTCAGGATTCATCCAGCCTCAGTGGCTCCAAACAGTCTGGATTCCATGAAAATTTGAAATTCTGTTACACATTTCCTCCTTTTTGATCAGAATTCTTCTGTAAGACCTTTGATCAGTAATGGTGGCCAGGCACCGTCCAGTTCTGGTCTCATAGCGGAGGAGGCAGTTCATGGAGGCAGTTAGCCACACATTCAGTTTTATCCTCCTATTCCTGACTCACCTTATTGATAGATTTTTTTTTTAAAAACTGCCAGACCCTCCGGCATACTTTGATAGTGAGGCTGTAGACTGTTTGTGTAAATCCCAGTAGATCTACAGATAGGCTTGTTTTTGATGGATTCAAGGGGGAACAGCCTTTTCCCACATGTTTTTGTAAGGGAGCTTGCTTGTTTGATGCCCTTTATACAAACTAGTATTTCCTCATATTGATTCCAAGGTTACCCAGTTCCAGTTTCATCCTAATATTTTAAAATTTGTTGAACATATCTGAGGTCAACTGATCTGTCCTATGATTTCATGTTGTTGTTATGTGCCGTCAAGTTGGACCTGACGCGTAGGGACCCCTTCTTGGGTTTCTGAGGCGATATCACTATGGAAGTAGATTGCCCAACCTTCCTTCCAAGGAGTGGCTGGTGGGTTTGAACCGCCAGCCTTCTGGTTAGCAGTCAAGTGCCGTTGGCACTACACTACCAGAGCTCCTTATGATTTCATAGAGGATAGAATAAATAATAATAACAAATTGGCATTGTTTTTATTCGAAGAACAGAAAGCAGGAAAGAGAAGTGAACTAAAGTTATAGGGAGAAAGCAAGGCAGCTGAAAACAGCAGGTGATTATCAGCTTTTAAGATGTTTCCATGATGTGTATGATAAAAGGCAAGCAATTCGTTGCAATGGCAGTAGTGGTGACCATGGCTGGTTTTACTGAGTGTCCACTGTAATGGGCTGAGCATTTTACCTCCATTTCCTTGGTTTATGCCCCCAGTGGTCTTTGAGGAAGAGTCTATTATTGTATCCATGTTAGAAGTGAGAAAACAGACTCGTTATGTAGCCTTTAACTGGTGGAACCCAGACAGGAGCCTGGGACATTTGCCTGGGACAGTCTGCTGCCATGTGAGAACCTCTAGGGAATGATCTCATTCATCTTTTTTATTATTATTATTGTGATTTGGGTGATGATTTACAGAGCAAATTCATCTTCCATACAGCAGTCCACATACACTTTGTCTCATGACAGTGACTTAAATTTCCTGCAATGCAACAGCTCTCCTCCCACTTCCTCCCCATAGTTACCTCTTCCCTGTGTCCTTCCCTCCATGCATTCCTGCCCCCCGAGCTGTCTCCCTGTGCATACACAGCCCTTTTATGCTCCCATGACTGATCTCTCCAAGGAGTGTATCTACCTACTGTAAATGTTCAGCTCATATGCCTGTGTTTTGTTTGGCTGGAAGCCACAGGCATGAGTTCAATTCCAGACCTGAGGGCAGCTACGGGCCATCGTCAGGGTCTATCAGACCAGCAAACCTGGTCCCATTTTTTTTTTTTTTTCCTTGTGATTTTGAGTTTCATTCCACATTGTTCTCCCACTCTATCCAGGATCTTTTACACAGATCCCCCTCTGAGTGGTTGACAGTGGTAGCTGGGCACCATCTTGTTCTTCCGGTCTCAGTCATATAGGCTGGTGATCTTCATTCGCCTTAAACATGGAAGAGGCAGGAGGCAGTAGCAGGCCTGCTTCTTGATATTTCTGACAAAAATAGGACTGTTTCCCACTCTTAGAGCCTGAAAATCTCCCTCCTTCACTCTTCCCTGATCCCTAAGTCTTTTTTACAGAAGACTCAGGACTGGCTTTGCCAAGCTTCTTCCCTGGAGTGCAGTGCTGGGTGGTGCAAATGGTTAACATTAGCTGCTGAGCGAAAGGTTGGGGGATCAAGTTCACCCAGAAATGCCTCGGAAGAAAAGCCAGTTGATCTGTTTCCAAAAACTGAGCCACTGCACAGCCCGCAGAGCACCTTTCCACTCAGACCCACCTGCGGTCATCACGAGCTGGGATGAACTCTGTGGCAGCTGGTTTCCCCTTTAGTCTACAGTACGCGTCATAGGCAAAGCAAGAGTTCATAATGGCATTAAGCCCCAGAGAGAGTCCCTGATAGTGTTTACTCAGAAAGAGAATTGGGATTAAGTCAACAAATAGAGGAGTAAGTACCACCTTCATCCTTCGCGGGTCTGTTGCAGTGAAGCAGTGCCCACACCTGTGTCACGGGTGTTCTTCCTCTCAGACCCCAAAGTTCTGAGAGCCTCAGGGATTTGTGGTTGGCTTCTCAGCCCCTAGCCAGCCGTGCTTCTCTTGGAATTTCTATGGACGGATGTCCAACAGCAGGGCTTGTTCTCAGTCTCTGAAGAACAACAGTCACCACCATAAATCTTCTCAATGACTACACATTGAAGTGGATGAACCCTCACAGTGGTGATGTTGTGTGACACTGAGTAGAGTCGATCCTGACTCAGGGTGACCCCGTGTGACAGAGTAGAGCTGCTATGTAAGGTTTCCTCGGCTGTGACCTTCACAGGAGCAGATCATTGGCTCTTTTCTCTCGTGGACCAACTGGTGGATTTGAACTGCCAACCTTTTAGTTAACAGCCGAATGCTTAACTGCTGTGCCACCAGGCCTCCTAGTAGGTCTCATGGAACACTCTTAAAATACCTACACACACACACACACACACACACACTATCATTTTATTAATCTATAGTTCCTCAATTTTGAACCAAAAAAGCAACAACCAGCTTGAGTTGCTTATTCCCTGAGCCTGGCTCTGCATATCTTTGGGATGTTTGGCAACCTTCAAGGATTCAGATTTTCCCACTGTGTTCAGAATATTCTGTAAACTTGAAAGGCAATCAAAAGAATAGCTCCAAGGAGGTCCCTGGGTTGCGGTGTTGGACGACTGCGCGGGCAGCCACGGGAAGGAATTGGTTCAAAGTGGGTGGCCTTACCTGAATACAAAATCAGCTGAAGAAAGATCACCTTTGTACACTGAGCTTTGATGCTCTACTGCATGTTGTTAAGCTTTTCCTTCTTTTAGAAGTTTGAAATCCCACTCATGACACTCCACCGTCAGCTGAGTAATCATTGCATGTGTCGTTGCCTTTCTTTTGTGGAGATTTACCAGTCACACAAAAAACAAATTCAACAATTACTTTAGTTTTGCATAGACCAGAACAGTTTACAACTCTCCTTGCTTTGAACATGCTGCCTCAGTCAAAGTATGTTGTTATGAAAAACGGGAAACATCTCACAATTACTTTATTGAAAAAGAGGTGGTTACCATCTTTACGTCTTAAACCTGAAACCAAAATGATCCCCTGCACTCTTCTTAAAACCAAGCAGTAGTTTAGCTTAACTAGCAAAGAGTGTCTGCCTTGAGCATTGTATTTTTTAAGATCTGTCTGCATGGGATCAAACTGACAACAGCCACTCAAAAGATTAGATAGGATACTTAGGGGACAGTGAATTTATATTCATTAAACATAAATCAAAAACCAGACTCACTGCCATTGAGTTTATTCTGACTCAGAGTGACCCCCATTGGGTTTCTGAGGTGGTAAATCTTTACGGAAGTAGATTACCCCATCTTCCTTTCTTGGAGCGGCTGGTGGAGTTGAACCACCAACCTTCTGATTAGCAGTCAAACATAACAACTCAGAAAAGGAGGATGAGAGTGGTTGTACACCTCCAAGAGTGTAATCAGTGGCACTGAGTTGTACACGTAGAAACTATTAAATTGCGTATGTTCTGCTGTGTGTATCCTCAATAACAACAAAAATAAAATAAACTTAAGGAAAAGAAGAGAAAAAATAAAAGGGAGTTAGTTGCCAAGAATTGGTTCAATTAGGAACCTGTGTATCTCTCAGTGTTGAAACAAAGTTTAATACCCTAGCCTGCCATTTCCAGAATTAGCTGCAGGAGTTTTCAGAGGCTGAAGGATGTTGTTAAAATTAAAAATGATCCACATATGCTCCCCAATCCCATTTTAGTAATAAAACAGCCAGCCCTGGTTTTAGCTCTCCTAGAGCAGGGTAAAAACACTGAGCATTTTCCTATGTTTTGATGACAAAGATATTCTCTTCATTCAGAAAAGATTTACGAAAACGTGCACAGAGTCTCTACCACTGTATCATGGCAAACAGGCTCCAGACCCTTGCCGGCAATTATGGCTAATGACTTTCAAGGTGAACCCTTAATCTCTTCTCACTGTGGCCTCCTCACAAATCCTTTCATTCTATTCTGCACTTGATGGAACTTTTATTCTGTGGTTTCTACAACCTGAAACGGTGTTCAGAATGGCACCAGGGCTTAACCCATAATCCTGGACATGGCTGTGGACTGTTGGAGTTTCATGGGGCTTGATTTGGCCTTTGGGTTCCCTTTGTCATTGGACCCTGTCCATTGTTCTTTGCCGCCTTAGGCTTTTTCTATCTTTGGTGGACATTAACAACAGGGTCTGGACATGTACTATTGTGTGAGGCTGAATAGAAAAGGAGCAAATGTGCAAGTCTGTCCTCACTTTTAAAGAGGCTTCTCTGCCTCACTCAATCAATGGAGGGCATAGAAAGGCTTCCTCTCTAAATTTCAACAGCCCTGCTGGAGGAAGGATTTACATGTGAGCTGATTTGGTGTTATGCAGTTCATAGCCACCCATCCCATGTTGTGGGAAGAACTTCTCTGTGGGGTTTTCTTGGCTGTGATCTGGATGGAAGTGTATCACCAGGGCTTTCTTCCATGGCACCCCTGGCTGGGCTCAGACTGCCAAACACAAAGGATTTGCACCAGCTCGGGCCCTAGAAAGGTTTTCTTCTTAATATCTGAAACGCTCTAACGAAAGCTTCAAACAGAGGAAACACAATATGCAATCGAGCATGACTAATAATCCTCTGCTTACCCAGGCAGTTTCTATGACCGAGCAGAGGAGCAGAGGAAGGTCAACACCCCCCTCCAGCCCAGCCCACCCCACAACCATTTGTGGGCCTCAAGGGCTTGATCTCTCCGGTTTGCACCCCTTCTTCTCCTTTCAGCATTACTTCAGTTCCCTTGGGCCGAACCTCTCAGCTTCAATATTTGGAGCCAATGGGGAATTTCCTCAGCTGGCCTCTTCACGACCAGTGGTTCTCATGGCAGATGGATGGAGGGATCTTTGGGCAGTCTGGCCTCATGGAGGGCGGGAGAGCTAATTAGCCTGTGTGGAATCGAACCCCAGGCCCTGGCCTCATTAACACACTGGTCAAAACGACTGAGCTGCGGAGCAGTTTATATCATCGCTGAGAAAATCAGGACTTCCTTTATTAGGAATAAATGGCTGTGGTGGAAGCCGGGGGACCATGGCTGCCAGAAAAGCCGGGGGAAGAGGAATTAGCTCCAGTGTGGGTGGAAAGTGTTTTCTCATCTCAATGGGGGAAGGGCGCTGTCTGGAAACAAGGATGTATTTTTAAATTAGAACTACTCATTCTTTCTTTAGCCTTAGTTAATTTGAGCAGAAGCTACTACATGCAAAACACAATAAATTTAGAACTGGCAGAAATCGCAACGAACTCCTCTCAAGTTGCCCGCAGTGCTCCCACTCCCAGTTAGAGGGTTACCCTGTGTCCTAGTGCAGTGCACAGAGCCACTGTGACTGTAATGCGGCACTGCCAAAGCAGGCCGAGGAAGAGTTAAAATCTCCAATTTCTGATTGTCCCCCTTCCTGGCTGTTGCTTCAGTAAAAAACTGTAGAGGATAATGCATTAAAGGTCCAATGCTGGTCCAATTGTTTCAGGGTACAAGTTAAGCTGATATAAGAAAACGAAAAAACAAATCCAACCTACTGCTAATCAAGCTAGTTCCCGTTCATAGTGACCCTATAGCACAGAGTAGAACTGTCTTATAGAACAGTCTCATTTCCAAGGCTGTAAATCTTTATGGAAGCAGATTGCTTCATCTTTCTCCCCTGCAGCAGCTGGTGGGTTTGAACCACCCACCTTTTGGTTAGCAGCCAACTGCTTTTAACCACTCCACCACCGCAGCTCCTTTGAGATAAGCAAAAGTGGCTCAGAATACAGTGGCTCAAAAAAAAAAAAAGTGGAAGTTAGTTCTCTTTCAGGTGATAGCTGTGCTTCTCCAGTGCTAACCTGCCTCAGAATCTCCTGGTGGGCTTGTTAGCCCAGATTGCTGGGCCCCAGCCCAGAATCTCCCATTCAAGAACTTACCTTTATAACAAGTTCCCCGAGGCTCATGGTCTGTTGGGAATGGGTTTATCTCTAGTACTAGACTTCAGAGGAGTCCTTGGTGGTGCAAATGGTCGAGCACACAGCTGGGAATCGAAAGACTGGTGCTTGCCATCTACCCAGAGCTGTCTCAGAAGAGAAGCCTGCTGACCTTCCCAAAGGTCACAGCCTTGGAAACCCGGGAATCGCAGTTCTACTCTGAAGCACATGGGGTTGCCGAAGAGTTGGAATCGACTCTATGGCAACAGGTTTGGTTCTATTAGACTGCAACCTCACTACCAATGTTCCTGTCACTAACTCTTTCTAATATGTTTTAAGTTGGTGGACTCCCTGCTCCAGGCGTTCAACATGAAGGAAGGCACCACAGCTAAACGGATAATGACAGCCTCTTACAAAGAAGTGAAACAGAACCCTTAAGAGACTGTGTTCTGCAAACATCAGCTCCACAGGATGGTCAACAAAATTTCCTTTCTGCAAAACACTTAACCCTTCTTGTATCTTTCAACCTTGACTAAATTCATGGTTTTCACGAAGCATCTTCTTGTTTGAACTTGTTTGCTGTGAACAATTACCCAAAAAGGGTCTTCCAGTTAATGCTTTTGACCACTCCTCGTTAGTTTAGGCTCTCTGTGGATTAGAATCAAGCCCCCAGCCTGTTACCATTCACAATAAAAGCATAAACGCATTTTCCAAAGGGCAGCTATTTCTCTTATTTCAAATGCAAACAAGAAGACTGTGTGACCAAGATTAACCTTAGACTGATGATGTCTTTAGCTTACTCCACTGAAGGCCGCTTACTGAACCCTTATACAGGCACATCCCATTTTATTGCACTTTGCTTTACTGTGCTTCACAGATACTGTGTTTTTTACAAATTGAAGGTTTGTGGCAAGCCTGTAGGAGGCACAGTGATTAAGGCATTTGGCAGCTACCCAAAAGATTGGTAGTTCAAACCCACCAGGCACTCCACAGGAGAACGATGAGGTAGTCTGCTTCCATAAAGATTGCCACCCTTGGAAACCCATGAGCAGCTCTTCTCTGTCCTTAGGGCAGCTCTGAGTTGGAATAGAGTCAGCGGCAGTGGGTTTGGTTTTTGGTTTGGCAGCCCTGGGTCGAGCAAGTCTGTCCTCACCATTTCGCCAACAGCATGTGTCCACTTTGTGTCTGTCATATTTTGGTATTTCACACCATATTTCAAACTTCTTCAGAATGCTATTGCACACTTAATATACTGCAGTGTAGTGTAAGCACAACTTTTATACACACTCAGAAACCAAAAACTTTGGTGACTCACTTGATTGCGACATTCGTTTTATTGCGCTGGTCTGGAACCAATCCTCAGTATCACTGAGGGCTGCCTGCAATGACTGACAGCCTTCCTAGAGGTTCCTGACACTCCTCCCGTCATTACCATCAGATGGCTAGTATGAAGGTGCTTTTCATCACTTAATAATTCCAATTCTTCAGCCCTTACCATGGGGCAGATGTTATGCTTACAATATTGATACACTCCTTGTAACAATTCTATAAACTAAGAATTCCATAAGCTGAGAATTATCATCTTCCCATTTAATAGATGAGGAACTAGAGGATTAGCAATGTCAGGAGACTTGCCCACGGTCACATGGTAAGTGGAACTGGCATTCAAACATCTGAAGTCATCTGATTTTCTCAGCACTGAATGGCTTCTGCATTCTCTCATTTTCAACCTCCTTTTCATTATATGTAAGCCTAGCAGGAAGCAACATTTCTTGAAAATTTCATTGCCTGGGAGGAGAAGCGGTCCCTCCAGCCAGTTTAGTCAGCCCTGTGGCCAAAGAAAAGACAAAGTCAAGAGATTCCTTTCTGTTTTCAGGGAGTGTGGCTTGGTGCTGATTAGCACTCACCAGGACCATAGGTGACACTTACACAGGGACATGCTGTAAAGCTCCTTGTCACGTGTTTAGATGGCCTTCGTTTAAGGAAAAACATCTCAACAATAAAGAAAGGATCTTGCACTTGTTTTGACTGTCAGAGAACACTGGACGTGATGCATCCTAATTTCTTCTGAAACAACATTGTTTCACAGCTTACACAGAGCCAGACCAGGGAAATATGTGAACTACGTTTTCAGGGTCCTACCACCTTCTCTGGGAACCCTGGTGGCGTAGTGCCTAAGGCATTTGACTGCTAGCCAGAAAGCTGGCGCTTCAAACCCATCAGCCACTCATCAGAAGGAAGATTGGGTAATCTACTTCCGTAGTGATACTGCCTCAGAAACCCAAGGAGGGGTCACTATGAGTCAGATCTGACTCCATGGCAGTGAGTTTGGTTTTTTTGGTACCATCTTCCTCTAAGGAGCCTTGGAGGCACAGTGGTTAAGCGCCCAGGTGCTGACCAAAAGGTCAGCGGTTCAAACCCACCAGGTGTTTTGCAGGGGAAAGATATGGCAGTCTGCTTCCCTAAAGATTACAGCTCAGAAACCCTAACTGCCTTGACAGCAGTGGGCAGAGCTAATTTACACAATGGTTAACCCAAGGGCAGGTGGTTTTCCACCTTCCTCTAGAGAGCCTTGTTCCCTATCTTGGGACCCTCTTGAGTCTCTTTCCCAAGAACCCAACCCTGAGCTATAGCAACTAAAACCCACCGTGAAGCTAATGGTTAAGGGGTACTGCCCCTCAGGGGGAATTGCCCTCAGAAGAGACCCTCACGAAGATGAAACAAAACAAAACAAAAAGCATTCCAGGAACAGGGAAGCTATAATGGCGGCATTTCAGGCAAGGAGAGAGAGGTTTTCAGCAGCGGACAGTGCTCCTAGAATGACCCCACCTAGGCTGCCACTTGTTTTGTTCCTCAGGGGAGACGAGAGCCTGCTTTCAGCAGCAAGAACAGCTTACTCAAGTCTCCTGACCTTAGCAGACTCCTCTGTACCAAGCCCAGGTCACAAAACAAATGGTCCTGGAGTTGATTGTGACTCATAGTGACCCTGTAGGACAGAACTACCCCACCCATCAGGTTTATGAGGCTGGAACTCTTACTGATGCAGACATCTTACAGAAGCCCCATCTCTCATGGAACAGCTGTTGGCTTGGAACCGATGACCTTTTGGTTGGTAGCTGAGTGCTCAGTCACTGAGCCATCAGGGCTCCTTCAAGTCCTTGTGTTTAAGAGATTCACTTCTCCCTACAAAAGGAGCTTTCTGGAACCTTGTTTGCAAGTGGAATCATGTCACATATCTGTGTATGCCTCTTGGGTTAGGTAATTCTTCACTGCAAGTAACAGGGTCCTGGGTAGTTTAACTTGTTCTTATGTGCCATCAAGACTCATAGTGACCCCTCTTTGGGTTTCCAAGGCAGTATCACTATGGACGTAGATTACCCAGCCTTCTTCCGAGAAGTGGCTGGTGGGTTTGAACCGCTAGCCTTCTGGTTAGCAGTCAAGTGCCTTAACACTAGGCCACCAGAGCTCCTGGTAGTTTAAGTAGAAAAGGAGAAATGCATGAGACGAAACTCGGTAGGGAAGGGCAGAGTAACAGCATCAAGGATAAGCTTGTGGGATCAGTGGCCAAAGCCATGCCTCTGAGCCAGTAGATGAGACGACTGTCACCCTCAATGCTCCCCCTGAAGTACTCTGCACGTCTGTGTCACTTTGCAAGCTCCTCCATGGCCTCTGCCACCACCTATAGCTTGACTGCTAACCAGAAGGCTGGAGGTTCAAACCCACCAACCTCTTCTCAGAAGGAAAACGGGCAATCTACTTCTGTAGAGACACCGCCTCAGAAACCCAAGGAGGGGTCACTATGAGTCGGGATCGACTCGACAGCTTTGAGTTTGGTTTTGGTTTTTAATCTTTGCAGCAAAGCAGGATAATCAGGAGGAAGAATCCAGAGGGGAAGAGAGCAATGCCACCTTCTAAATTTGTTCTTCTGAAATGCGGCCTTTTGTTTGTTTCTTAAGTGCTACAGGGTGGATTGTTCTGGGTCGTTTGCAGCCTCTGCTGATGATCAGAGGCTCCGTCACACACCAGACAGCCATTCCAAGCAGTGTCACACACTCTCTAGCCTCACAACGCCTCCCCTTCAGTTCCTGCTGGGGGTACTTGACTGTCACAGAGCCTTTTAACCCAGCTCAGCTGTGTGGGGAGTAATCTGAGTAAAATTGAAAATGACGTTATTCAGTTCCTCAGCCAGGGGCTGCTTTAGCTAGAGATCTCTGAGAGAACTCGCTTGGCGAAACCTACAGCAAGGAACTGTCCCCACAGCCAAAGCAGAGGAGCCTGGTCACCTGAAACGTCCCAGGCATTGCTTCCCTCTCAGGACTTGGGTCTTCAGTGAAACACCTCCTGGCATTAGAGCCAGATAATGCATAGGGACACCACTCCACCTCCCTGCTTTCCTGTCCACCCTGCTAGTGCACACGCCGTGGACACATGTGGCCTAACTGACAAAGGAGGCGGGTCTAACCACGCCTGGACTGAGAGGGCCGTAGGATCAACATCGAATGACGTGTCCAGAAGAAAAGCCCACTAGCATCAAGGAAGAGAATGAGAGTGTTTTCAGTCCTTCGACTCCTTTCCCAGGCGCCCTGGTGGTGCAGTGGGTAAGCACTCTGCTTCTGACTGAACGGTCTGTGGACTGAACCCCCCAGCAGCTCTGTGGAAGAAAAGACCTGGCTGGCCTTCTGCTCCTCTAAAGCTATGAGGCCGTTCTACTCTGTCACATGGGATCACGGTGGGTTGGAACCAACCAGATGGCACACCGCAAGAACGCCCCTTTCCCAGAGGCCTCAAACCCCCTCACATCTCGATGACCATTGGGCTTGCCCCTAAATCCAAACCACCCATTGCCATTGGGTCATTTCCAACTCACAGCGACCGTATAGGACAGAGCAGTAAATTTACAGGGCTGTAAATCTTTACGGAAGCAGACCACCACATCTCTCTCCCCAGGAGCGGCTGGTGGGTTCAGACCACTGACCTTTCCGTTAGCAGCCACGCACTTACCCACTGAGCCAGCAGATTTCCTTTTGCCCCTAAACCAATCCCTAATGAAGAGAGTCAGATCACTATGCTCGGCCTCACCTGATCAGGATCTCAAACCCAGCATCTGCTCAGCACAAAGAAGACTGGGGAATCTACTTCCATAAAGATTTACAGCCTCAGAAACCCAATGGGGGTCGCTGTAAGCTGGAAACCGCTTGATGGCAGTGGGTTTGTTTTTTTCTTTTTTTTTAAAATCAGGATTTACCGGTGAGTCAGGTAGGGGAGGGAAAGGTACCTATAAGGAATCAAGACTCCGTCAGGCAGGAAGGAGGGTGGGAAGGATTTGGGATGGGCACACGACCCAGGGGCAGATTGCCCAGTAAGCAAGGTAAGCACAGGCTTACTAATCTAGTGAACAGGTCACATGCTTTGGACCACATCTTCAGTTGGTGAATTCA